ATCGACCATGGCTGGTGATGATGATAATTTTATCATCGCCTGCATGCTCGTACACGGTTCACATAATGTCTTAACCTGGCATGTAAGCCCTCGCTAAACTGACTGGCCCTTGTATCTCTGTACAGTCAGTCCACTGCTTAATGAATGATTGGCTCACCACGCCAGGCAGGTGACAGAGGGACTGATCACCACAACAGTCAGTGCCGGTTGGTGCAGGTTTGGGATCATTAAGTTAAGGTGGCAGCATAGAAGTACAGGGCAATGTATTTTTCTGCACTGCCCTCCATGCAGCCCTGTAGTCTTTAGCCAGTAAAACCTGTCATAACTTTGGTAACTGTATGGAAGGTTATCCAAGCGTTATCCAGGCTCGAATCTCCTTCCTGCTTAGGTTCCAAGGTTTGGCAATATTGGGCGAATTCCAGGTGATTGGGTCATGGGCCTTGAACTTCTGCAATGTGTTTCGGTTGCGCCCTGTGTGTGCTGTTTCCTTTCCTCGTTTTGTGTTGTTTGTACAGTGTGTTCTATATGTATTGTCTGTCGCTGTATAGTCTTTCTAGGTTGTTATAGGCCTCGTGTGTGCTGTATCTCACTTGTTTTGGCTCTTTTGCGTCGTCAGACGCCTTTCTGACCAAGTGGCCGCAAGGGAATATATTTCCATAACATTTTCATAAATCAACATTGAGCGATATTCATCCTCGCACTTTTCCAAGGATGGTTATCGCGAGCGATTGATTAATATACATGCCCCCCCTCCCCCCTCTGCTTAAGGGACTGTGGTAAATGTGTTTTTTCCTTAAATGCGCTTTAGAGAGTATGGGGGAATACATGAATCTGCTTACGGTGAAATTATTGTATGAATGCATGAGGAATTTATGAAGGCCACTTGAAGTTGAGAAGCCAGGTAATACAGGGTGATGAATTTATGGACGTCACAATAAAATAATGAAGGGATATAGGAAAAAAACCCATTTGATTTCAAAACGTCTACACATCTCACAATCCGCTTATTAAATGTGTTAACACTTTTCCTCTGTAAACTATGGGAGTCATCGCTTTCACAATATTTCATCTACTTTTTTTTATTTAAAGCTTTCGTGACTGCAGGGATTCATATTCTTGGTTCTTTCGGTAAAGTCACGTAGAAGGGAAACAAAATGATAAAAAATATATAAAACAATACAATTCTCACGACCTGATGATGATTGCTTGTGTTGCAGTCGAAACGTGAGAATTTTATTGTTTTATATTTTTTTTATTATTTTATTGTTTCCCTTCTACGTGACTTTACCGAAAGAACCAAGAATATATTTCATCAACTGTTGAGAAGAAGGTAAGAAGGACATTTGAGGTACAGTATGTGGGGTGTCTGTAAGTGGATTTCCGTTTTCCACGTGGAGAATGCGAGCGAGAGGCATCTGGAGATGCAAGAGCGCAGGTTACCCCCAGTGGTTGGAATGTTAAACAAAACGAAACGCACAACAAACACCGTGCTCTGGCAATTTCCAAAACGTAAAGTTTCATCATCATCATCATCATGTGGTTTTCACACCTGATGATGATTGCTTGTGTTGCAATCGAAACGTCGTGAGAAATTAATTGTTTTATATTTTTTATTATTTTATTGTTTCCCTTCTACGTGACTTTACCGAAAGAACCAAGAATATGAATCCCTGCAGTCACGAAAGCTTTAAATCAAAAGTTGAATATGTTGTCAGTGGTTTAGACTGCACTGCCATTGGCGTGGCGTGGCGTGGTGGAGTGAGAGGACTTCACCACACTGGTAAGTGTGGGTTGGTGACAATGTACGTCAGCAGTTCTTCCGTTGTATCTGTTCCACCTGATGACGGACGCTTGTGTTGCGATCGAAACGTCACGATTTCTTTTATTTTATACCCACGTGACTTAGATGAAAGAACCAAAGAGTGTGAATGCCCAAAGTGTCAAATTCACATAGAGACGGAGCGATGAGGTCAGCTCGTGCGCAGGTGGCTAGATCAGGGGTCGGAAGCAAAAATAAGAAGGGACATTTTTTGCGAATTCGGTAACGGAGGACAAAAAAGCTCAGCATTTAACGAGCCGCGATGCACTGCTTAGTGAATACGAGGTGATTGGTGGTCTCGAATAAATAAATAAATAGCGTCTCACGGAGAAGCGGTTCTTGAAGAGCCACCGCATGCGGCTTGTGGGAGCCGCAGGTTGTTCGCCCCGTTGGGCTAGATGGAATGTGGCATCGCGTGACCGTGCGGGGATGGTGACGGCATGGGGGGTGGGGGGGCCTCTATCCAGCAGTGTATAGATCATAACTGATGGTATTATCAGTAATACATTAAACGTGCTTGTTCGAAACTATAATTCTGAAGCCCCAGATGTAATATGACCTGTTCATGTGAATGATAACTCCCGGATGACCGATCAAGCCTCGCATTTTGACAATGACACGCACAATGCCAAAGTACACAATAAAATGTGTAGGTGCAGCCCTGCGATTCCTTGCTCATGCCACCTGCTGGTAGAAGGGCTTCCACCAGGGGGAGCAATAGAGAGCCCTTTTAGTGGAAGGTATTTGGCCTACTCTTCCATGTTGGCCAGATGTTTTGGAAGGGTTAAGTGTGCCCACACTTTTTTTTGACAATTTTTTTTATTTTGTATATTTTTTAAAATTATATTTTTTTATACCAGGTAAGGCCCAATGAGCTATACAGCTCCTTTTCAGAAGCGACCTGGCCACAATTGATAGCTCAACAAAGTGGCCCATCATTTCGACATTCATAGCACCAAACTGATCTAAATAATCTCCATGCATGTTTATAAATGTGGAAAAATTCACGCGGCCACGAGGAGAACATGCACACTCCAAATATACAGGTGTCAGGTTCGGGATCGAACCCACAACCTCCTGTATACCAGGCGAGGTAGTTGTCATCTCGTCACTCTGGTGCCCAAACACAGGAAGGATGAGGGGGGGTGGGGGTGGATTTTAAGGAACGTGGCCATTGTGTTAACCGCCGTGAATGAATATGTACCGCAGCACAGTATAATATACCGCATCTTTATTTACAATGCACATTTCACAAGTTTCACCTGCTCCACAATAATGCAGATTGCAAAAGCGTTTAAGCTCTCGTCTGATATCGGCCAAGTACTGATAAGGTGAAACGAGCTGCTTGCAGTGTGGCTCGTGTTTATTTTAATTGTTTATTGTGGACCGGTAGGGGGCCATCCATTTAGTACGTAGGCATGGAGGGGAGAGGGGGGGGGGTTAACCAAAATGCGTTGCGTATGGGGGGTCTACTGACAATGTCCGTACACATAGGAAACGGGGGGGAGGGGGGGCAGGGGGTGAAGCCTCGATAATAATTTGTCCACATCGGCCTTGAAATTAGTTAGATAGTCCGGCGGTGGACCATCTGTTTGCTTAAACACGTTAATATTATGAATCCTTGATCGTTTCTGCGTGGATTAAATATCGGCCGTTCTATAGGATTCGGGGCCGGGGCGGGGGGAGGTGCGTCAAGGATACGTACGCAGGTGGGGGTGGGTGGGGTGTAAAAAGTACACGTGCCTACAGGGAGGGAGAGAGGGGTCAAGTTTTGACAGATTTTTGTGCACGTGCACAATGGATGGCCCCTGGGCATCACGTGACGTGAGGTTATGCCCTGGCGGCTACTAGGAGACGCTGGGGAGATGCCCCTCTGGAGGTAAACAAAGCCGCGTGCATTGTCTGTTGCCGTACGGACCGATGTGGGGGATGCCCCACATCGCGGCAAAACTTCCCCGTCCGCTGACCGTCGTTCACGTCGTCGTCATTGTCATGCTGAGAGAAGTTTGTTTTCGGTGTTCGAAAAAGTAAGTAGTCTCATGATCATCGCCAGTTATAGTTCCCATGAGTTCTGTATATTTGTGAAAGGTTTCTTTACATGGGAGTGTGTACAGCCTGCAAGAGTTTGCGCGTAACAGGTGTTTTTTGTGGGTATAGATTCAAATGAAACGTATCCACGAATGTGCATGTTCGTCACAGAATGACTCCACATCATTGCAGATGAGAGGAGTTCTACTCTAAATATATTTAAAGAATGATGTAACAAATAAGTACATTGCTGGAAATTGTGTAAAAATTGCAAAGCCATACGGAGCTCATGCAACTCGTATAATAATTAATCAATGAAAGCCAATTGTTCAGCTCACAATACAAGCACCGACTGTGTGTGTTAAAATCTATTATTTATAATGTTTGGAACTACATGTAAAATGTTGCCTTTTAAGCAAATGGAATAAATGAAGCAACAGACAATACACAGCGAATTAGATGAACAGTGCAAAGGAGAAGGAACACGAACAACAGAAAAATAATTTATTTTTGAATTCAATCACGATCCTAAATTGTGGTCATGGCAGCTGACTCGGCTTTAGCTGCCGAGTCATCTTGGCACTTCCATGTCCATTACTAAATTTAGTTTTGTTTTTGAAATCGTACTTCCTTAAACGTCTTAAGATTGTCGAAGGGGTACGTATTAATAGACGTTTCGTTATAAATATAAGTTAACGTGTTTTATTTACTGCCGGTAACTGATGCAGCCAGTCAGGACGTCGCTGTACTTGATTTCCCTGTCTTGCAGGCCCCTCACTGTGTTTGTGTCACAACTGCGTGTGATTGAGCGCAAGGAATTCATCCTCGCCCGCTTCTCGTTCGCATGTACGCACGCACGTCTGTTGAACTTCGTCAGCTGATCGGTTGGCCTGTCGACTTGTTTGGGGGTACGTAGGCTCGCTGAAGTCCACCGGCCCTCGACGAGTGAGAACCCAGCGAATGATGAAACCTGTGTGTACGTAAAAAAAAACTCGCATGTATGTATGTTGTACTTCTCTCGCACCGTACGTGACCAACCGTGCTCATGTGTGGTGCGTGCAGGGACAGGCGGGGGAGGGGGATGGACATCAAACTAAACGTGTCTCTCCCCCCCCCCTTCCTTGTCTCTCTCGCTCCACCCTTTTGCCCGCAGTGAGCGTGCAGCAGCTGCCGCAGCAGCAACAGCAGCCTTCCCGCGGCGGCTCGAGCAAGAAGAAGCCCCGTGGACGCGGGATCTTCCGCTCGCTGCTCTGCTGCCTGCGGCACACAGAGAGCCCCGAGCGGAGGGATGCGCCGGCCAATGGGGCCGGCGTTGGGCCCGGCACGGGCAACAGCCTGGGCTCGGGCGCCGGGTTGCTCGACGAGAACGGGTCCATCGCGAGGGCATCGTCATACGAGGTACAAAAAAACCTATTGAACTTTTTTTTATTTTATTTTATTTTACCAGGTAAGGCCAACAATGATGGCTGAACGAAAGTGGCTTATCATCACGTGGAAATGTGTTCGTAGCCAAATAATCTCAACGCACGTTGATCCTAACTGTGGTGGGAAAAGCCAGAGGACCCGGAGAAAAATCCACGCGACCGCGGGGAGAGAGAGGGACACGCAAAACTCCAAGCATACAATAATAGGGTTTTTCCCCTTTTTTTTCTGGCAACAAAACTGAAACCACAATGCTTGTGGTCATATTGACCACAGGTATTGTTGCCATAAAAAAGGGGAAAACCCCTATTATTATATTTTGGTACTGGCAAAGGAGGTCTAATGATCCAAATATACAGGCGTCAGGGTCGGGATCAAACCCACGACCTCCTGTGTACCAGGCGTGGTAGTTAACATCTCGCCACCGTGGCACCCAGGTAGGGGCAGGGGCACGTTTCACAACGCGTTCGCGGGGATTCCCCTCCGCTCTCCGCCATCGTCGTCGTAGGAGAAGTCGTTATTACAGGTGGGGAAAAAAACTTGGCAGTTTTTTTTGCTACTCTGTGAGCATGTTGATGGGATTTAAGCTGGAACGTCGATGGTACAGAGGTACACTTGTTGGGGGGTGGGGGTGGCAGGGGGGGGAGGGGCATGGGGGGTGGAAAGGGGGGCAGGGGCAAATGCCCGTCCCTTCCGCCTTACAACGTTATACATCCTCAACCATTTTTGATACATTTTTTTCGTAAATCTAACATTGTAAATTTTATATCTTGAGGTATATTTTAGTTTCGATACTTGTAATATGTATGTCCATTTCGGCATAAAATGACAACATGGCTTGACATAAAACTTATTTCTGACCCAAGTACTCTTCATAAGAAATCAATTTTCTCCTGTCTGAAATGTTTATCTGGGTGTAGCCACTGATCGGTGGTGATATGCCACCAGTAAATATTCATCTTAAGCTGTAGCCAGGTGGGTCACGGAGCTAAAGAACATGTCAGACCTACTCGAGTTGGAAAGCGGCCCTAAAAGATCGGTATCGGGGGAACTGCTTTTGATATCCCTCCAAGTGAACTCTGGTGCACAAATTAGGGGGCAGCACTATCCCCACACTTTATGTTTGTTAAACTTTTTCGTAACCGTACGTGGCCAACCATGCTAATCAGAGGTGCGGGGGATGGACAAACAAATGAAACACGCTTCAAGGGAACGTTCACCCGTAACAGTAAAAATTTTTAAAAGTCTCAAAACTAAAAATTTTGTCACGTGAAGTTAAAAAGCAAATGTAACGCGATTGATTTTTTTTTTGTGTGCGGTCATTGGTCACCGGGCTTAGACCATCACAACTCCGTGACACCTGAGAATCTGGTTTAATCGCAGACAGCTGCGCCTGGCTGCTGAACTCACGATCTCAGCCGGGCCAACTCGGCGTTCTTGACGATGTCTGAGCCACCCGGGCACCGACGTTACAATTATCTTGAGTTTACGGTTTAAAAGAACACATTACCATGTTGGCTATGTGCACACAATTTCTAATTTTTCACTATTGTATGCTTTAATAAGATAATTGTCTTTTTTTGGGGATTGGGTATAAAAAACAAAATGGCAGGCAGTTCCCCTGCAACCACAATGCTGCGTCAGTGAACCAACCGGAACCATTACTAGAAGCAGCTACGCTGTCTTGGCTAAAATTGCACGCTCGTAAGAAAACACCCTAAAAAAAGCCAGCGACAACAAAAACACACAGCAACTCTTTCCTGTTAGTAACGTCCTGCTTGCTTTTTGTTTTCTCTCGATGTCAAAACGCAAACACAGCCGACCAGTAAGTACCTCCTGACCGAAGCACGGCCGGATGACGCCGGTCGGATCTGCGTGGTGATCGACCTTGACGAAACGCTGGTCCACAGTTCCTTCAAGGTGAGACGTTTACCGCCTGACATTCCCTTCATGGTGAAAAGCAGTTTTTTTTTTTAAAACAACAACTCGGATTTAAGAGCAGGAACAACCCACGACACTTTTGATTTAAAGCTTTCGTGGCTGCAGGGATTCATATTCTTGGTTCTTTCGGTAAAGTCACCACGTAGAAGGGAAACAATAAAATAATAAAAATATATAAAACAATAAAATTCTTACGACGTTTCGACTGCAACACAAGCAATCATCATCAGGTGTGCAAACCACAGCAAGAACCAAGAATATAACCCCCAACACGTTCGCCAATGGCGCTGTCCTAAAAGGCGAAGATGTTGTACGATTATTGGCAATGTAAGGCAGTGGTTCTTTTTACTTGCACGTAGGTCAAGGACGGGACAATGCCTGACACATCAACTATTTGTTTATACTTTATACTCCTAGGGCAGTCTTATTGATGTAGTTGTTGAGTCTGTGTTTTCTGTGCTTATGCACCACTGCCAAGGCAGCAATCGCAGATATATTAGTCAGATCAATTTGCATTGGTGTCGGTGATGGTAGCGCTGCTGTAAATGTTGATCATGGCTTTGGTGATGTGGTGGTGGTTGCTGTTATGGTGCTGGTGGCGGTGGTGATGAAATCGTGGAAGTTGTGTTGGTGGTCATTTTAAAATTGGAGCTTCTGGTGGTGGTGATACTTGTGGTGGTGGTGATACTTGTGGTGGTGATACTTGTGGTGGTGATACTTGTGGTGATACTTGTGGTGGTGGTGATACTTGTGGTGGTGGTGATACTGGTGGTGGTGATACTTGTGGTGGTGGTGGTGACTCTTGTGGTGGTGATACTGGTGGTGGTGGTAGTAATTATTGTGATGGTGATGGAAGTCAATGTAAATGATGCTTTGGTTTTAGTGGTCAATATGGAGGTGATTGCGATGTTGATACAATGATGGCACTTAAGTCATCTACCATTGATAGAAAATGCCATCCGCCAGTAACAATGTATCGGTTCATGTGGTGTAGCGATCGTACGCTTTTGGTGGGTATGTGAATGAAATTTCTCGGCCGCGATATTCAGCGAATGCGTCGGATGTCAATCATCTGCTCGTTTCAAGAGCTCGCAGGGCAGCAGTTTGCACAAACAATGCTTTTTGTCAACTAACTGCTGTATGCGGGCCCCTTGTGACCAGCCGTACGGGTTCGTTGTGGACCCTACTTCACAACGCTGGTCAGTGTGGATTGTTGAAGCCAGGGAGCGTCGATGTTAGGAGCTTACAAGTACAATGCATGGATTTCTGCTGCACGACCCTCTGTTTCCCTCAACATAATGGGTCCATTCAAGTTGCGTGAATACTGGTCTTTGAAACAGAATTGTTTCTTGTTCACGGCCACTATTGGCCTATTGTACTCGTTTCCATGTTTCCTTTGTTTTTACTCTAGCCTACTGATTATCAGAATATCTTACAGCCAGCCCTCTTTGCCGGTCCTCTGCTGGATGGGCTGCCCACTCCATGTTGGTCGTGGGTGAGGGGGGGGTGGTCGTCTGACCATACTTCACTGCCGTACGGAGCAGTCCCTAGGGTAACATAGCGAATGCGGGGCCGACGGCCCCGGGCCCCGCACTTCGGGGGTCCCTCCAGGGCTTCGACGTCGCCGCGTCAGATGTAATGCTTCTCATTCAGTTTGAAGACGCCGTTGGGTCCGCACCGGTGTGATTTTTTTTTGTTTCCCGCGCCCCGCACCACCCTAGGGCCCTGTTGCTGGCCGTTGCGTGTTTATTGAATCGGGGGCCGGGGGAGGGGGACCCAAGACCGGTTCAGATATCACTCATCACAGATGTTAACTTTGGCCAGGAATCAAAACTCGCTTTTCACCGCGTTTTATAGTACAGTGCGCTAACCAATTCTCTGCTGTGCCCCTCTGGCACTGTACTTCTGTGCTCTTGCATCTATGCCCCCCCCACCGCGCCTTCACCAACCAACCCACGCTGCACCGGCACGGTGAAGTATAGCCATCACGCTCGCGAGACCCGCCGGGGTTTTTCCTCGCGGTGAACGGACAAAAAGGGGCTTCGCGTGTACACTGTAGGATTTTTTCCCCTCCCCCCCGTTCCTCGGTTCCTTATAAACACCCTTTTCCTTCCTGAAAGAGAGAGAAAGAAAAAAAAAACCTCCCTCTTTCCCGATTACCAGCCGCCTTCTGCTACGCCCTGTCAGTACGCTTAGTCGCCCCTTCTCTCCCGCGGCATCTCGAGATGCAGTTGCGGTTTCGAAGTTTCACAAAGGCAAGCTGTGTTTTGTATGTCGTGGAGATGGAGTAGCGGTGGAGCAGTTTGTTCACCGGTGAGCTGCGCTCCATTGCCGGCGCTGGCTAACAATCAGCGGGCGAGTGATGCCTGAACTGGTCCCGAACGCCGGCCTGTACCAACACAGACTGACCAGCGTGGTGATGTATGGTCAAACGACCTTGTCGACTAACACGACTTTGGGGGGGGGCTTTCATCCAGCAGTGGATTGACATATGGGGTGTACGCTTTCTTTTGCGTGTATGATGAAGATGCTTTTGGTGTAAATTGCTTTTTTTAATGACAATTGTATTATATGTCATGTGCACTTTAATGTTTCCCTTTTATTACCGTAATCGTAACCCAGTAAATTACCCGGTACTGCCATCGAGGTAATCGTTAAATACTCATTAAGCAGACCTGGTAAATATTTTTTTCAAACACAGTTCGCTGAGCACAGCTCCAAAGTGTCCAAAAAACGCCTTGCGGCTCGCAACAGGCAGAACATTGGGAGAGTTGTAACAGATAGAGATTGACTCGTTTTTTTTTAAATTGAGCCGAGTTATTATTGTAAGAGCTCGGGGGTGGGGGGGGGGAAGGGACTGGACGTCTGTGAAAAAAATCCCCGTTGCTCATCGGATACTAAATAAAGATTCTTATTCTGATAAAGAACGATGGGAAGGCAATTCCAGAGTGGAGCGCAGCAAGGGACACGGAGAGAGAGAGAGAGAAATAGAGAAGTGAGGTGACCTGCAGTGCGGTGGTTGAACACCGTACGGTCAAATGCGGTAGGCTGAGTCGGTCTGTTAGGCTTTGGTGATGTTCACGGGAACATGTAACCTTGGTGGTTGTGATGGTGATGAAAAGAGTAATGAATTTTAAGATTAACTTTATGGTATTTCAGACTATGAATCCAGTGCTGCCTTGAGAACTGAACCGTACAACAAGTACCCTGACCTCTCCATGAGATATATTCGAAGCTTAAAACTTAAGCACTCACTTTGGCAGCTCATTGAGGATTTATTCATTCACACGGACAATTGTAAGTGTTGCTGGTTGATGAGCGGTTAATTTCAGCTGTGTATTACCCACTATGACTATGGATTGACGGAGAAAATGGGAAAGCAACAGCTGAAAATGACACTTGGCATGGACAAGTTTCATACATTTGGGAACAAATCCAAGTTAAATATATCATATTGACTGTTTAGAAAATGACAAGTAATAAAACCCCATTATTTTATAAAAAAATCTGTCCTCAACAACAAAGCGTGCGTACAACCGATGACCTTTTGGGGCAATGTTTTCCTTCGTCGTAAAAAAATATATTTGTTCATAAAAGTAAGTGGGCTTGGGCGGTGGTCGAGACTAACGATGGAGTGGCAGCCGAAGGAGGAAAAACGCCCGAGAGCGGAGGGGCGGTGGGGGGAACGTCCGCCGCACAGACGGGAGCGACGAAACGAAATTCTCGTCGGCGGATCGTTGCGTCGCGGAAACCGCGAGAGATCTGCGATAGCTTGGGGGAAGGGGAGAGCGCTTCATCGAGCAGCGGATAGAACGCGGCCGATGCGAGTGCATTCATTCTCCCCGTCGCGACTGTGAGAACGCTCTCGACGTCACCGTTATTGGCAAAGCGGCGGCGCTTGTTGCGCGCACGCGCCCGTTGCGAAAACATGTTTTTCAGTCTCGAAATCGAAAAAATAAAGTGTCACAACTTGGGGGGGTGGGGGGGGGGGGTGGGAAGAGGGGCTGACACCCTTAAGAATGTGTGATAAAAGAAGGAGAGAGGCAGCATTGTTTGTTATTCAGCCGTTTCCTGGTTTTTATTTTGCCGAGCAAAGGTGTGGAGGTAAAATTAGAAAGTGGACGGATAAACAAAAGTAACCGTCAGAAATGGAGGAAGAAGTCACGGGAGAAGGTATTGTGCAAAGTTGCTGGTTGGACGTTAGCAGGTATGTTTTGAACGTTGACGATTCTGAATAGTATATTTTACGTTAAGTTGTCTATTGTTCACACCTACACACAGTTGTGCTACATCAGTACAAATAAACTAGTCACATTCGTACTTGTCACTTTCTTCATAACGTAAAACTTATCTAAAATATGTAATATTACATGAAGAGAGTGAACATCATGTATACATTTTGCTTAAAATAATTACATTTAAAGACATAAGTGAATGACAAACATGGTATTATTTTTTTCTTAAATGCATGCTACTAATGCCATTGCTTTCAATGTACTGCCATATAGTGGCGAAGTATGGTCCAGCAACCCCCTAAAATGGCAGACAATGTTGGAAAACCCAGTTGCAGCTTAGCAAAGAGTTGCAATAACTATAGGCAAAGCAAATCGGTTGGCACGGTTAGAACGTGCTGAGAAGCCATCTTACGACCCTGTTAAAAAGTGATTGGTGAAATGTGTGGGCCCAGTTAGCCCCATCTGAATGCTGGCGTTCGATTTCGATCCTAACGGGAGAATGTGGCGTTTGCAGTCAGTCGTGGCTCCACCTTTCAGCTAAAATAAGCGCCCACAATTGCACGCCATGAGACGTGAACACACCACGCCGTTTATAAATAGAAAGAGACAATTTTTAAACCCACGTACAGTGCCGTGGCGTGTAACCGTTTGCACACCGGACTTTGCAGAGGTCGCCGGTTCAAATGTCGATCTTCCGCAGTTGACACGATGGTGGCGAGTTTCTTAAATCGTCCCAAGCTCTCTCACTCTTGTCCACCCAGCAGTGTCAATGGGTTCGCCCACAGTTGAGTCAGTCGGAAGGTCATATATGGTTGGGTACAGCTTGGGTACTCCCACCACTCCCAAGACATCCGGCCAGCGTGGACAGATTAGGCGAGAATACCCTCTAGATGGACTGGGGCTGTCCAGAGTTCCCGCTAGTGAGGAGGACCCTTCCAACCAGCGGTGGCATGAGCGCAGCAATTGCAGGGCTGCACCTTTACCCTGTTTGGCCGTACAGTGCACGCCGTCTCTGCTCCGGACACGCAAAAAAAATTATAGTTTCAAAATCTGTAAAAGGCAGGCTTACATGGCGTAATGGCAGGGCGCAAACAGGAATGTTTGTTTAAATATACCCGCGCATAGTCCTCGCTTTGTTATTATTTGCCTTCTTATTTTTTGCCTGTGGTACCCTGGCATTCGCTGGACCTGTCCAGGTAAACAATAGGTCAATGTGGGTGGTGTAACGGTTGAGCGTGGTTTGCAGTTCAACTATTTGTTGGTAGAGGTGCAGTCCTGGAATTCCTTCGCTCGTGTCACTGCCGCCGGAAGGGGCTCCACGCGAGGGAGAGGGGAAGAAACCCTCCCCGTCAAGCACTCACGCGTACGCAACTGGAAAAGAGAACGTTACATTTAAATTAACGGATAACTATATTTAAAAAAAATGTGTTCACGTGGAGAGCTTCCCTCTTTTGTTAACAATGAATGTTCGGTTTTCACAACTGATAGCAAAAAAAAAAATAACGAAATATTCCTCCCCCCCCCCCCCGCCGCCCCCAACCACCACGCTCGGTTGCATTGGTTACAATTTCGCAACTGGTTGGCGGCGCCGAGCGTTTCGGATTTTGAAATGCGCCCCCGTCCTTATTTCGTCACACGCGCCTTGGCGCACGCGTTCGGCCCATGGGCTTGCACGCACACCCATCGTGATGACGCGTTTGATAGCTGCACGTTGCGTTAATTTCCTATCGGATTGCAAAGTTGAAGCCTTTAGTCGAATAAAAGTGGTGCGTCGCCGGCTTGGCGCTCGCTTTATTTTAAAAGGCGTCACAAACGTGCCGAGCTGAACGGTTGCTTCGGTTTTTCAATGTAAGTCTTTTGTTTTAAGTTGCTAATGACTGTGCCTCATTTTTCTTTTCTTTCAATAGCCAATCAACAATGCCGATTTCATAGTTCCTGTTGAAATTGATGGAACGATACATCAGGTGAGTAAACACATAAAAGTTTTTGTTTTTATTTTACGGCCTTTGTTTGGGAAAATAAGTTGTGACTTACACTTGCAATGTTGTTGTATGCTCTTGAACTGCTTTCGCAACAGCCAACCGCGCTAATTGGAGGTGTGAAATGCGCTAATCGGAGGCGAACATCTTTTTTCACAATTGTATCTTGAACACATCACCATGTTTTCATTTTGTCAGTCAACAATGTAACGACGTAACGGAACCAGACGAAGGCTTTGCCCCCCCCCCCACCCCTGCCTGGGACCCCCCCCCCCAGCCCCACAGTTTGAGAACCCGCTGAGTTAAAGGAATGATGAGCGCAAGATCAGACCGCCTGTGATAGGCAGGACCCGAAGACCTCCGCTACAGACGCCGAGTACTGGCATCCTGGCCGTGGCCTGATTCAAGTAATCCAGGATAGGTTGGTTTATTACCAGAGAGCCTATCCTCGACTACTTGGGTTAGGAGGCGGCGGATGACGCCACGAGACCTCACGGCGTTTCTGCAACGCGCCACACGTGCTTCCAGCCATCGGCGCGAACACCGCCTCCAAGCGTCTCGTTTGTGTTACTAAAGCTTAGGTTTTCCGCGAAACGCGCTGCGTAGCTGCGTAGCGGCCCAGATGCGTCTCTGCATTGTACCGCTTGTTGTCCGGTGGCGGTCTTCGACATTTCACTTTCCTGTGCTGGGAGTTTCGTCAAGTGGTACGGTTTGCCTGCCGACTTGTTTGGGGGTACGTCGGCGCACCGAGGTCCACCGGCCCCTCGATGAGTGAAGAGCAGCGAATGATGAAACCTGTGTGCACGTAAAATTACTCAGATGTATTTATTTATGGAAGTTTAACCCCTTTCCCACCGCCGTACGTAGCCAAGCGTGCTAATCGGAGGTGCGGGGGAAGGATGGGCACGGTTAATGCGCAACTCGGGTAATCCGCCCGCGGTAAAACATTTTGAGGTCTCGCTCGAAGCCGTCATTAGTTATTCATGGGCGTGACATGCATTCCGTCGGTGTGCAGGTTTATGTACTGAAGCGCCCTCATGTGGATGAGTTTTTGAAACGAATGGGCGAATTGTTCGAGTGCGTGCTCTTCACTGCCAGCCTTGCCAAGGTGAGATTTGAGATCTTGTTGCATAGGATGCCACGGACGTTTTTTTTTTTACATTTTTCTGGTATGTGTGTGTGCGCGTCTTGTGTGCCCACGTCCATAATCCAACACTTTGTGGGGGCAAGGATTGGTGGGTTACGTGGATTTGTTAATAACCCCCCAAACCCAGTCAGCTGCAAAGTGGCCAGCAGGTGTCGGTAGAGAACGTGGCTTTGTGAGCTTGTCTATGGGGACTTTTTTTTCGTGATATCCCGCCATGTGCGTAGGTTTTCTCAGGAATTGGCCTGACAGCCTAATGCAGGAGCTATGTGAAAAACATATCCTTGAAGCTCAGTGGGGCTTTCCTGGATAATTAATAGGCATGTAACTACTAACAATTACATTAATTTGCATTGTTTTTGGTGTCAATTGATCTGGAAAGCTAAACAAGCAGGTTGTGTGCAATACAATCCATTGGTGCTTGGGGTATTTTTTTTACGCCCGTTTGAAGTGCAATTTCAAGTGATAAATGACGGTGATGATGATTGTTGATAACTCGCTCTTTGCACTGACAGTACGCTGATCCTGCGGTCAATAACTCGTCCTTTGTGCTGCCAGTACGCTGATCCTGCGGTCAATAACTCGCCCATTGTGCTTGCAGTACGCTGATCCTGTGGTCAATAACTCGCCCTTCATGCTGACAGTACGCTGATCCTGTGGTCAATAACTCGCCCTTCATCCTCACAGTACGCTGATCCTGCGGTCAATAACTCGGCCTTTGTGCTGACAGTACGCTGATCCTGCGGTCAATAACTCGGCCTTTGTGCTTGCAGTACGCTGATCCTGCGGTCAATAACTCGCCCTTTGTGCTGATAGTACGCTGATCCTGCGGTCAATAACTCGCTCTTTTTGCTGACAGTACGCTGATCCTGTGGTCAATAACTCGCCCTTTGCGCTGACAGTACGCTGATCCTGTGGTCAATAACTCGCTCTTTGTGCTGGCAGTATGCTGATCCTGTGGTCAATAACTCGCCCTCTGCCCTTGCAGTACGCTGACCCTGTGGTCAATAACTCGCCCTTTGTGCTGCCAGTACGCTGATCCTGCGGTCAATAACTCGCCCTTTGTGCTGACAGTGCGCTGATCCTGCGGTCAATAACTCGCCCTTTGTGCTGACAGTACGCTGATCCTGCGGTCAATAACTCGCCCTCTGCGCTTGCAGTACGCTGATCCTGTGGCGGACCTCCTGGACAAGTGGGGGGTGTTCAGGGCGAGGCTGTTCCGCGAGTCGTGCGTGTTCCACCACGGCAACTACGTCAAGGACTTGAGCCGATTGGGCAGGGAGCTCAACAAAGTCATCATCATCGACAACTCGCCCGCCTCCTACATATTCCACCCTGACAACGCGGTAATCGCCCACATGCGCACACTCGCACACGCGTGCGTGCGTGCAAGCAAGCAAGCGCGACATCAGTGCAGCTTTGCCGTACCAGAAGTGGGAAGCTTGTGGTTATAACCTGCGGTGACAATAAATCCGCGTGGCATCGTCCTACATTTGTTGTTTTATCCTATGTTGATGCCTTCCTACGCACGGAATGATTTTGTGCGCCTGGGAAGTGAATAAATTCGGCAGCTTCGCAGCGTAACTTTTTAACAATTATCCTAATTGTACAGTTGTGAAACAATGACGGTCACCGCATTGCGCGTTTTCGGATGCGCTTCTGCGGCCGTCTGGAACGCTCTTCGTCCTTCCTATATCAGGATGCCACTGGAGTTATGCACTTTTAAATTATCTAGATTGAAAACTCATTTCCTTAGAACTGCTTGTTGTTGTGTTTAGTTTGTTGTCCTTCCCCGCACCTCTGGTTAGCACGGTTGGCTACGTATAGTGCGGAAGAGGTTCAACATACATACTGCCCATAGACTCCACACTACCCATAGACTACTAACACTGCCCATAGACTCAACACTACCCATAGACTACTAACACTGCCCATAGATTCAACACTACCCATAGACTCAACACTGCCCATAGACTCCACACTACCCATAGACTACTAACACTGCCCATAGATTCAACACTACCCATAGACTCAACACTGCCCATAGACTCCACACTACCCATAGACTCAACACTGCCCATAGACTCCACACTACCCATAGACTACTAACACTGCCCATAGACTCAACACTACCCATAGACTCAACACTACCCATAGACTCAACACTGCCCATAGACTCAACACTACCCATAGACTCAACACTGCACCTCTGATTAGCACGGTTGGCTACGTACGGTGAGGAAGAGGTTCGACATACATGCATTCCCATTGAACTCAGATGTGTTGTCTCATTGTATACAATACAACGCAGGTACATGTTGCGTGTGCGTTGCATTTCCGTCGCGTGTGCATTGCGTGTGTGTGGGGAGCGGTAAGCGTGCTGCCCTACAAACCCGTGACCATTATCTGCACCGGTCCTGGGCCTCCCCTAGGTCGACTTGACATATATGAATACCTGGTGTGTTGTGAAAACACCGCCCCTGGGGAGACAAAGGCGGCCGGGCATGGTTCTGACCACCCACCCCACACATGTGCCGTGCGGGCCTTCATAGGTGCTACTCGGAACTTGCCCCAACAGTCTGTTAAGGCTATACGGGGGGGATCTTTGTGTGTGTGTGTGTGTGTGCGCGTGTAGGTTCCGGTAGTGTCCTGGTTTGACGACATGACCGACACGGAGCTCCTGGACCTCGTGCCGCTCTTTGAGGGGCTGAGCAAGGTGGACGACATCTACACGGTTCTGCGGCAGCACAGGACTAGCTAACGGCAGCGCGGCCAGCAAGCCGTGGGGGAATAAAAGAAAGGCAAAACACACACACACGAGGAGATGCAAGAGGAATAGAGAAAAAAAAGACTGAACAAAAACGATCAAACGAAAAGACAATCTGACGTACGCATGAAACCTTCCCGATTGATCGCCGTTGGATGGTGGAAAGTGCTGCTCGAGTGAAAACCAGTGCGGGGATCGCCGTCGACTGGAGGAAGTTGACGTCGTTGCGTTGCTTGAAGTTTGATTTGATGCAAGAAAATGGGCGTTTTTAGCACTTTCCCTAACCCCGCAATTGCATATCATGCCTGCCTCTGTCAATCAAAGACAAACTTTACTCTTAATTTTTTTTTGTCGTCGTCGTATTAGCTGTACGGTTCTTTTATTCTCTTACGGCTGTTCGTGATCCAATCTTTGATAAACCAAACTAAAACCAAATAATATTCAGGAAGGAAAAAAAGTTATTTTTTTATCATTAACTTTTAAACATTTTACGAATAACCCTTATTTGGTATAAGCAAAGTATAGGAAAAGTCGTTTTCACGTTTTACCAAAAAGACGACCAGTGTTTTTAAACAGTGGCGACATTCGCGCATGCTGTATCTCTCAGCCCCCTGCACAACCTGCAGCACACGGGAGCTGTGTGTTGCTTAACTCTTTCGCGTTCCGATGACGTACGTCATCAGTTTTTCTTCTGATTCCATTCCGATGACGTACGTCATCAAAACGAAACCGGAAGAAAAACTAAAATTAACTTGATTGGCAACGAGGCTCCCACAAGGCCACGCGGGAGAGCGTGTGGCACAGTTTTGGCACCAGCTATCGCAGAGTGCGGTTGTGTCGCTACAGTTCTCTGCGGTGAGCAGAGTGTCTTTAAAAAACAACGGCGCTGCGCCTCTCTAAATAAAAAGTATGCCGAGCCGCTTGCACGTTCGGGGAGACGCCTTGGAATGGGAAAGGGTTAAGGTCACGTAATTTTGTAAGACAATGCGACATGCCCAAGATAATTGACAGTAAGACGGCGATGCCGGTTATACCGCCTGGAAGGTTGTTTCTACGTTACGGCTTCTCCATCGGCTTCTCCATCGTGCCTCAAAGAAGTCGCCTTGAGTGCCTTTCCTCTCATTGCAGAAAATGAAATTCTATAATACGCCGGCATCAAAGCTCACGCACAGCAATACAATGAACACTACCCTCTTTTTATTATCCCGCCTATACGTGTTCCGATAAAATCATGAGAATCTCTTAATTTCTTACATGTAGATATCGAATCAAAAAGACAAGCAAAGCACTTGTAAGAGCGAAAAGTTTGTGCGATTTTCGGCACATTTTTATTCAGCTAATGTCAGCACATGAAACTGTAGTTTGTATTTAAACTACTATATATAACATTAAAAACACTTGATCATCCTTGCATAGCGTTTATACCCCGTCAGTGACATCTGCAGCCTATAATCCTCCTAAGCGTCAGAAAAAAAACTCCCGTTGCATACAGAAAGAATCGCTTATATTTTTTTAATTAAAAAAAACCACGGCATCGATAAGTCAACATTTAAAAAAATATAATGATGCCGGCTATTTGAACTGTATTGTTTAAATGTGAGCAACGTATTAATTTTATACCTAATAGGTGTAATTTGTAAACAAAACAGAACTTGTAATCCGGAGGTTGTCTGTTCGAATTGATCCCGGCGCGGCAGTTGAAATGACGGCGCAAAATTCATGAATCCAACCCTCCCCCCCACCCCCCCCCCCCCTTCTGACCTCTGACTTGGGTGGTGTAAATGGGTGCCCCACAGTACATTGGCAGGTGGCATGTAGCGGGGTAACATGTGGGCACTCGCCTCTTACAATGCATCTCGCCAGCGTGGAAGAATAGTTCGAATACCCTCTAGACGGGTGACTGTTTATAGCTTCCTCTCGTGGAGGCCCTTTGCCAGCAGTGACATGAGCAGGTTTCAGAATATTTATTTATACTGGTGGAATCTGATGAGCGATAAAGCTGTTTTTTTACAGATGTCCAGTAGGGGTGGGTCAGAACGTTGTAACAACAAGCAATACAAAAACACGATAGGAGTGCAAAGTCTAGGAAAGGTAAAGAAATCTCTTTATAAAAAAATATACAAATAAAAATAAACTTAATTTTTCTATCTTACCAGGTGAAGCCCACTCGAGCTATTAGCATCTTTTTTAGAAGCGACCCGGCCACAAATGATAGTTCAACAAAGTGCCTCGTCATGTGGAATTTTTTTAGAGGCAAAATCATCTCAATAATAAATAAAAAACTGAAGGACCTGGAGAACGACAAATCCACAGGGAGAGAGAGTCATTTAAATTCATAATCTTACAGGCATTAGGGTCGGATCGAGCCCGTGACCTCCTTTGGCTTCATTTACTTTTATTTTTAACAGAAGCATTTTTAAATAATCGCGGCTGAGATGCATCTCGAAAGTCATTGTGGACATCTGTGCAGTTTGATTGACCGAGCTGAAACTGGTGTCATAATTGTTTTAACAATAGGTGATGCCTTCTACTGACACCCTGTACACGTGGCAGTGATGTGTAATGTTATAACAAAAGCGTTCATTAATAACGTTTTGTCATCAAGCTGGCTTGGGTGGCTTTGAGGTCAATTCTGAGCCATCACCGCTGAATCCTGGGTTCAAATCCAGGCAAGCTGCCCGTAATGAAACTGGATTGTCAAACGGAGCGAGTTGATGGTCTCAGCCCAGTCACCAACTACTAAAATTCCAGCTCTGGGTATTAATATCATCTGTTTGACTATCATGTGACAATCTAATTGCAGAGAATATGGCATAGTGCACGCCCTTCTCTGTAAAAGATGGAGAAAAAAAGCTACTTGAAGGATGTTTTGGAGAAGTCTGGTGAAACGTATCATCATCTGCGGCGCTGCTCTGATCTTTTCTAAGTAGATTTAGGCTCTCGAAAGGTTAACGAAAGCACGGTTGTGAGTACGTTTTTTGGGGAAAAGGCACATTGAAAATACGATACACCCTAAACCAGGGGTCGGCAACCAAAATAACAAGAGCCATTTTTATCGAATTCGCAACAAAATCCCCCCAATATTTAAAGAGGCACAATGCATGCGAGTACGAGACGGTGGTCCTTAATTCATAATAAAGCTGCCCTTCAAGAGCCAGCATATGCGGCTCCGGAGCCTCATGTTTGCCGACCCCCTGCCCTAAACAATAACGATACACTATAACGACGCACTACCAAGGGATCCGCGGTTCAAAATATCGTTGGGCTTTGCAACATATATATAAACATATATAAAAAAATGTGTCTCGTGCAGGAAATATTTTAGCACAAAAGTGGATAGATGTGTACTTTGTCACGCATCGCTTAAAGCAGCGGTGGCCCAATGCACCAAGCACTTGGATCCATCGTGGCGGAATCTCAACGGGCGCCGGCAACGCGCCAGAAAGCTTTCGTCCCAACAATGAAGATCGATGGATTTGGGATTTAACCATGGGATATTATTACTGTAGGCATCGCACGCATCATCTCGCTGTCTGTTAGGCAGGAATGTTTCGATGTCCACGTTGTTGAGCCTCGGGGGGGATTTGCTTAGTTGCCATCAGCCGTCGAGAGGGAATTGTCTGCTCGTTAGCTTTCTGACTTGTCCTGAGATCCACCCCGTAGGTCGTGAATCACGTATTGGTCACCACTGATTTGGAGTGGTGGGGGGGGGACTACATTTGTTACACTACCAGTATGTTTTAAGTATAACGCAATTGTGTAACATTTTTTTTCTGCACACAAGTAGTATACTCTCCGTGTTTAGCTTGATTTAGGCGCTTCACATTACACTTGTTGACTGCACTTGGAAACGGCATCCAACACTGCAACGTGTAAGTTACAGGAATACTAATATACGGAAAATATTTTTTGCTTCTGAAAGTAATTTTTTTTTTATTAACTATGCTTAAAGACATTTGTGTACATTTCATGAATTGTAAGCGGAACATTTGAAAATCCCCTCTGCTCATATGCACGTCTGCCAACTGGTCACATTTGGTGAAGCATTCTCTGTTCTCGGTGAGTGATTGTTGCACGTCCTTTTTTTTTCTAAACAGCGATCGTACTTTGTACCCAAGGCAAAACGGAGCATTAATTATTCGTAAAAAAAAAACCCACCCCAATTAAAATAGCTTTTAGAACGCATTGTACAAGAGTGACGTCTTCGAGAGACACTGCCACGTGGCGTGCAGGAGGCGAAAGTAGAGTTGCCTTTTGGACGAGTCCACTTTGAAGTGCAGCGATCCGTAGCTCTCCATCGGAAGACGCCAAGTTGTCTCCCAGCTTAGGCGTTTGTGGTTGTTGTTGGCCTCGGTGTATGAAAGACATCGTCTTGACCTTTGCCATATTAGTGCCCATGAGTGTTCTCGTTATCTCGTGTATGTTGTCACCCTGCAACTTTCCAAACTGCTGGACAAATGGCCTCCCCTGTGTTTGTTCCGTTCCTTAATATTCGTCGTTCTTGTCCAGCGGTGGCCTCCGAATTATTTACTTTGCCCCACTACCGCCGTCCCGCTGGTTTGCTCTGCTGCCTTGCTCTGTGGTTAACTGTGCCCGTCTTTCGCAGACTGTGTGACGTGTAGTTGTGTAAGCCGTGCGTGTTGGTGGAGTTCTAAATTCAGTTTCTTTTCCAAATCAGTTTTTACTCCATTTGGGCTGTCAGAGTCTTGTCAAGAGGTGAAGTGTCACTTTTCGTTACTCGTAGCGAGCGGTGAAATCGCCTTCTGTGCATATGCAGTGGCCCACAGAATCATATGCTCACAGACCCCCAGGATCTGTCGTACGACAACACCTCGATTTACGTCTCCCCCTTTTACGCCGTTTCCCAAATACGTTAACGCAACTTCGTGGTTTGCGTCGCCTCTACCCCACACTTGACATCGCCGACAGCATCGTCCGTCCTTTGTCGTATCCGTCGACTCTCGGCCTTCACCGTACCCTGTACTTTGCCTTGCGCATAAAGAAATGTACTGTACTGCAGAGTACAATATGTTATTTACGTATGGCATTTAGGTGATTTGGACAAGAAAACAATGGTTTACCGTCGTTTCGATATTCGTCGTTGCACCTTTCATGAACTCATCCTCGACGTAAGACGGGACTTGGCTGTACTGGCTAAGTGCTCTCTCTCTCTCTGTGTAACTTCTGAACCACCTGTACTAACTCACCTCTGACGCTTTCGTGATTTTACGTCTCGTGACTGGTAATTGTGTTTGTCCAAGTTAACCCCGTGGTGTTGGATGTTGAACTTGTTTTTTTGTTGTTGTACCATTTGCTTGGTTTATCTATGGTTATGAGTTGTGTTGCATCAGTTGGTTCTTGCGTTGTGTCCATTCTTGTTGGCCTGAACGTTGGTTGGATTGGTTTATTCAGGATCATTTGGTTTTCTTGAGTGTTGTAC